AATCGCCACTCCTTAGTAGCTGGTCACTTAGAAATCCACATATGGCCGAGCACTGGGGGCATCCATAGGGGCTGATGTGTGGCAAAATGGCATTGCGGCCCTTTCTGTTTGTTACAATAGCAAAATGTCACCAGCACAGAGATTCGTGTTAGTGCAAATCCATTTTATTAACAAATGTCACAAAGACAAGCGCTTTTGGGGCCACACAGGGTCCTCTTCATCAGGCTCAATAAGGCTTCCTGATAATCAGGGCACATGGCACCGTTATCGGTATTCTGTATCGCCGAGTACTGGAAAAAAAAAGAATTGCGCACACAGTTGGCCTCAGGAGGACGTACATGTAGGCCGGTCAGCAGATGGTTAAAATAACACTTTGTGATCCTTCCTCAGGCATTTCCTCCTATAGGGTGACAGTGCTTTCTGTACCTGTCTCCCAACCTTGCCCCTGCGTTGTCATCCTGTCTCAGACGGAGATTACAAGTGGCCATTTCAACACGCATAGTGCATGCATGGTTTTTTCGTCATGCAGCCATCACTGGAGTACATTGTGACTGCACAGAGGCTGCAGGAAATCATCAGTACTGAGATACAGTAAAGGGTTAAAGAAAGGGGCAAAATACTGTATTGTGCCATTACACCATCTTGATGGAAATGGGTGTTGAAAGTACCCTGGCTGAAGCCCAGTCTCCCAGATACTGGGGCCCATTACTGACATAGGTGAACCCTCCCTGTTATGGGGTCCAGGACCTCAGAGGGCCCCGTGTGGGCGACATAGGACGTAGATCTGCTCTGTTATCAGTGCATTGAAAAATAAATTGTGCAGCAGTGCTCCGCAGGAAGTAGAGCTGGCATAGGTAGAACTCGCACACAAATGCAATATGAATGTCATGCAAATCCCAAATGTATCCCCGCTCACTGAGCCCTCCTCCTACTCTCATGTTCCTCTGAATTTCATGTTTTCCTGCTTTTGTGTCCTTCACTAGCTTAATAACACCACCATCGAAGATGTTGTGATCAGCGTCAGCATTGCTCGGAAGCAGCCCATGCTGGATGCCGCCATCGAGAAATCCGTCTGGGGTCAATTGGGTGAGTACATAGACACTGTGTGTGCCAGCTGCTCGGTGTTATATAGTTGTATAGTTATGAGAGCTGAGAAAAAAGACCAAGCCTATCAAACCCAACCTGAGCTGAAGACAAACATAGAATATAAAACAGTACAAACATTGATTAGCCATGAAAAGAAAATGTGATGGATTCTTCATCATTCTCATAACTCACTACAATAATAATAATAAAAAATGGTCATCCCGCCACAAATCTTATGAAATTATAATTTTATGTTCTTTCTGTCTCTGCTAAACTCTTATTCATTACATTGTTCCCAGCTATCTATGCGGCCTGCATAATCCTTCCCTCCACGGATATGGGGATGAGCAGAGGGGAAGGTGTCCTGTAGTCCCAGGGTGGCCACAGCGTCCCAGGTGGCTAAAAGCTCTTAGCAACCTGTGATCCTCTGTCCGGTCCTGCCCAGCCCACTGATATCATCAGTTGCCGGGGAGCTGAGCCGGACGCTGCGGCTGGCATCCCACTGAGCACCTGGCAACCAGTGACATCAGTGAGCTAGGTGGGACCAGACAGAGAACTGCTGACAGCACGGCTGTAACACAGCCGCCCATCCCACTGCATCGGCCCCCCATCCCTGGACAACCGCTATTGCCAAAGCCCCCCCACTCCATGGCCTCAGGCGGCATATAGGATAGGGACGGCCTTGGTCCCAACACAAAGAAAAAATGTTGCCAGCACACTGACACTGTTTAATATTTGTGTTAAAATCGTAGTTGCGCTACTATTGCAAAACATGTGGAAGCCACGCTGCCTCATCAAGCTAGTGTGGTCCTAACTAATCTATGAGAGCAGTGCGGCGTCCACATATTTTTACAAATGTTGTGCAACTAAAACCTCTGTTTTTAACGCAAATTGTTAGACGTGTCGTTTGATTCTCTTTGCATGCTGGCTGGTGAGTGTGCTGGGATTTTTTGTGTCGGTACTGTGTAAAGCCCTTCCATGTGCACTTTACTTTAAAAGCTCTTTATAAATTGGAGCGGTGCAGTTGCCATTTTTGTGAAGTTCCGACACATGTCTTGTCCCAGAGTGACAACACCGTTCCTCCATAAATACAGTATAATAAGCGTTGTCACAGTAGGCCAGGAAATGTGCTACTTGAAGTATCACTGTGGGCAGCACAGTGGCGTAGTGGTTAGCACTTCTGCCTTGCTGCACTGGGGGACCGTGGTTCGATTCCCAGCCAGGTCACTATCTGCAAGGAGTTTGCATGTTCTCCCCGTGTCTGCGTGGGTTTTCTCCGGGTTGCACTACTCTCCGGGTACTCTGGTTTCCTCCCACACTCCAAAGACATGCTGGAAGGTTAATTGGCTCCTGTCTAAGTTGGCCCTGTATGTATGTATGCATGTGAGATAGGGACCTTAGATTGTAAGCTCCTTGAGGGTGGGGACTGATGTGAATGTGTAAATTGTCGGCGCTCTATAAATACCTGTAATAAATAAAATCACAAGGTAAATATAAAGGGAAAAGGTTTTGTCTTGAGGTGCACCTGCTGTTCATGGCTGCTAAAGGGTAATGATCAATAATACAAATGGACTCCTGTTTCTTCCTGTACAAGGTGAGACTGATGCAATGTAAAAGTGCAACTCATGCCAAATACACAGTTGAAGTACATGGATGTTATGGGCAGGTTGGAGGATGCATTGCTGAGTCTGATGTGTGTCCTCTACCTGGCTGCGCAGTGTGATTCAAAATGTGTATAAACCCCAAAACTGAATAAGCAGCACTGCAAATTCTTTCCCTCTAAGGGCTCCTTCACATCGGTGTGCACGTCTGTGCAGAGACCTGCTCCTGGGAGGGACAGGGTCAGCATGTAATTGTGTGCAGTAGCCTATGGGAGGACGCGGCTGCACAGTGACCCGAACCTGGACATCCGTGCAGGTCCCGGTGCCCACACTTTGACGCATACTGTCTGCGTAAATGAGCCGTAATGCAGTTCACATCAGCGTAACGTGTAAAGTGCTTTGGTTTTTTTTCTTGACAATCAATCACATTTCGGCTGCCAGTTGAAGTACATGGATGTTATGGGCAGGTTGGGGGATGATAGGTGACACGGGAGGATGCATTGCCATTCTTCAAGCACAGGTTAGAAAACGAGAGCTGTCATGGCTGAAGTGGGAACCCTCTGAATTGTGTGTGTTTACTCCACGAGCTTCTTTATATTTTTGTATGTGTCTCCTCTCCGCAGCTGTCCACAACAGTGTGAAGGGCTCCCACAAAGACAAGAGGTCACAGGTCAGCTATTCAGAAGACTACTTCAGTGCAAGCCCAGCAGCACCCAGCAACAATCCCGGCTGACCAGACGTCACCTGGGGGGAACGTGGAAAAGGTGTTCACAAGATGGGCTATGCTGGCAAGAGCGTTTTGTCTTATGTGTGTATAATGCTGTATAATAAACTGTTGCTGTTTTGGTGTTATTGTATACATTTGGAGTCATGTCATTTCCTTTGCCATACACTCAGACAAGCTTACTCCTCAGTAACTCAACCAATCAGCTAAACATACAAATGAAATACATATTCATTGCATGGCAACCTGACCATCACAGGTACACTGTATGGCCAGTTGTATTTGGTCACCCCTGATTACTGCACCTGGACTCAATAAGTCAACATTTACTGTGTTATAGACAAGGACATTCCCTATAATGATGCAGTTTGAGGCAGTTGCCTCAGGCGGCATTTCATCGCGGGGGGGGGGGATTGCTAAGGGCTCATGGCAACCTCTGACACTGTCCGGCTTCCCATACAGCTCACAGATGGCATCAGTTGCCAAGGTGCTGAGCAGGATGCTCTGGCTGGCATCCCGCCAAGCTTTTGGCAACCAGTGACGTCTGTGAACTAGGCGGGACCGGACAGAGAGCCGCTGGCAGGCGCAGCTCTAACACAGCCAAGTTTGAGGCAGTTGCCTCAGGCGGCATTTCATCGCGGGGGGGGGGATTGCTAAGTGCTCATGGCAACCTCTGACACTGTCCGGCTTCCCATACAGCTCACAGATGGCATCAGTTGCCAAGGTGCTGAGCAGGATGCTCTGGCTGGCATCCCGCCAAGCTTTTGGCAACCAGTGACGTCTGTGAACTAGGCGGGACCGGACAGAGAGCCGCTGGCAGGCGCAGCTCTAACACAGCCACCTGTCTCACCGTATCCACCGCACCCCCGCTCTATGTCCACAGTAGGCATACAGGGTAGGGCCCTGGTTATAGAGAACATCTAGAAACGTTAAATGTGTCTGAGCAGTACCCTGGAACATGTACAGTTTGTCTGGAATTCCTCCTGAAAGATAGCAGTGCACTTCTTGGAGGGTGTTGAGGTGCTCCTGTACTCGTTGTATATCTGCAGTGTGAGATCTAAGGCCTCTGAATGCCAGTCTCTGTTGATCTGGAGTGAGATTTTGTGATGTCACTACTGTGCTGCTCACTATTCTCCTTGCTGGAGGCTCTGACATGAGGAATCATAGCCCTGCGCTAAGCAGAACAAGGCACGTTAAATTAGTAATGGAGACAGCTCTGCTTCAGGGAGACCACATGTAATACTGCTGATTAGTCCTTGGTCCTCTGTGTGCTTTTTTGGGGGAACAGCTTCCTGAGTTCAGATCTTCTTAAATGCTGCAGCATACAAAGACATTTTAGATAATTGTGCACTTCTAATCTTGTGGTAAGTTTAGGGAAGGTATGTTTCTGTTCCAGCACGACTGCACCCTCCTGCACAAAGGCGGCTTTATAAAGACATAGATGGATGTGGAGGAACGCTCAACACTTTTGTGATGAATTGAAACTCTGTGAGCCAGGTCTTCTCGTCCAACATCAGTACCTGACCTCAACCCTACAGATCACCATTGGGATGAATTGGAATGCCAGCATTTTTATTTTCAGTGTGCATTTAAAAAAAGAGCTTTACAAAACATGGATTATAGTGCGCGTCAGTCCACACAACGTGAAATGCTGCAGAATTAACACAATCAGGTCAGAGTTCAGAGGACGGCGTTCTGCAGTCTGCGCTCCGATCAGGCCGGGCAGACAATCTCCTCTAGATCCGGAATTCCCGGCAAGAACTGCAGTTCTCCCTCCAGGTGTTTGCGCAGGAAAGGCAAGACCTCCAAGACGTTGACATAAAAATCCCGAGCGTTAGAAGACGGCTTCCGCACAGTCTTTTTCTCACAAGGGTTATAGATCCCGAAGCTCAGAATCCCCACCTGAGCAGAATCAAAAGCAAGAGGATTAGTAGTGACCATCTGCAGGAATGCTTAATGCTGAACCTTCATCTAAATATATTCCTCAATAGCCACAAAGGACAGAAATCCACTTTGCGTGCATCAAATGACTTTGCGAACCCAGATATTGCCAAATAAAAGCAGTGACATCATCAGAGCAGAGATTGGGGGGGGGGGGCAGCACCCACTGCAGGGGCAGAGACAAGGCCAGTCATCCTGCACAAGGAAACAGAGCAGCAGTGACCAGGCCTTATTACAGGAGGGGGCGGAGAAAAGACCAGTCACCCTGTACAAGGAGAGAGAAAGCAGCAGTGACCGGTGTTTATTACAGGCAGGGACAGAGACAAGACCAGTCACCCTGCACAAGGAGAGAGCAGGAGTGAGCGGTCTTTATTACAGGAGGGGGCGGAGAAAAGACCAGTCACCCTGCACAAGGAGAGAGAGAAGCAGTGGCCGGTCTTTATTACAGGAAGCTCCTGCACAGAGGCACACACTGAAATACTGCACAGATCTGGGAGAAATACGCAAAGCACTGGAAACAATTTAAGGTGGGCTGGAACCAGTGGTGTAACAATAGCCATAGCAGCCCACTATGGGGCCTCAGGGTGCAATAGCACCCCATTAGCACAGCTGCTATGGGGCCTGAGGGTGGAATGGGACCCCAATTAGCACTGCTGCTATGGGGCCTAGGGGTGGTAGGGGGCCCATTTAGCACAGCTGCTATGAGGGGTGGAAGGAGATCCTTTAGCACTGCTGCTATGAGCCCTAGGGGCAGGAGGGGGACCAGGAGGGGAGCTGTTGAGGCAATTTAAACACATACAAAGGGTGTGTGCATGTAGGGATCGCACATATCCATCACTGTATTATTAAGACCTGCAGAGCCTACTGTTTACACTGATGTGACATCTCCAATCAATAAGAGCTGATGTCAGATGTACAGGAGGAAACTTCAGAATTGTTGTCACTAGTCACAGATCTCCTTTCCAGGCTATGCAGAAAGGAGAATATTTTAGCTATTTTAGCAATTTGTAATTATTGATTGGGGATATACCGATACTAGTATAGGTATTGGTGCTGATACCGAGTATTTGGGAGAGTACTCATACCCGTACCAAATGCGCTGGTACTTACCCCCAATACCGGAACTTCCCGTCTCTCCCTGACCGGCAGTACCGCGAGGGAGAAGGAAGCCAGCTTCCCAGTCAATCAGGAAGCTGGGTGGCAGGTTATGACCCGGCTTCCTGATTGGCTAGGAAGCCAAATTCACTTATTGCTAGTCTGCCTGGCTTCCTGACAAATCAGGTAGCCGGGCAGCACGTCATGACCCGCTGCACCGCTGGCTTATTGGTCAGGAAGCCAGGCTGCCTCCCAGTGTCGCAAGGGAAGTGAAGCCAGTGTTCTTTTGATAGAACACTGGCTTCCCAGGCAATCAGGAAGCCAGATGGTGGGTCATGACCCGTCACCCGGCTTCCTGATAATCACAGCCCACGGATGCCGGTACTGGTACTCGATATTGGCGAGTACCCAAAAAAAAAATATCGGTACTCGATACCGAAAAACAGGTATCGGTGCATCCCTAATGATTGCCCTCAGAGCTTCTGGTCATCCCGGCCAGCACTGAAACTAACTCTGTATGCCCAAGACAGTCTTCCCAAAGTGTCTCCTGCTACCTATCCTTATTTAGACATTCTTTATGAGACGAAGGCAGGTCGTCTGGGATAGGGGGGTGGGGGGGACATTAAAATGTTCCTATGGGACCCCATGATCTGTTGATACACCCCCCTGCTGGAATAGAGATAGTAATTATAAACAGGAACTACAGACAGGAATAATAATCTCTACAAGATATCCGAAGACAGCGAATGACTCAGGCCACCAGCTTCCACCAATAGCAGGATCATCACTGTCGGATTGAACAACCTTATAAGCTGCCAACCCGCCATCATGCAGGAAAGATGCAAATTCTGCAAGGACGCGCTACCTTGCGTTTCGCATTGCAGCTCACTTATACTGTATGTGATTGGCTGTCAGCTTATTTGCTATTCTTCTGCATTTTTATCTGCAGATTTCTCTGGACAAAAAGCCTGTAATGGGTCTCACCTGGAAGAATCGTTTTCTATCCCTTATATCAACGAAGAGAGATCCACCCGATTCTCCTGTGAGAAGGAACATGGCGGTTAGATACACAGGTCTTTCATCACTCTTCCTCAGCTCAGAGTCACATTCAAGATGATATTATGTTGGGGTTTTTTACAGCATTAAAGAGAATCTTTCACTGTGCCCAATAGGGACAAACAGACAGGTTCTCTTAACAGGTCAGATACCAACCACCCACTCATATTACCCTGTTTTCTGACCACTCTGTACTTTGAACTGTAAGTCATTTTGGTGTCACCTCTCCAAAGGTGTCACCCAGGTGCGGACCGCACCCCCCATGTGACGCCACTGGTTGGACCTCAGTAATATTTTGTAAACACTCAGCCCCAGCCTTACCTTTACAGGACATCTCTCCATTCACACATAAGTGTCGCGGTGAGACCATATCCTGGAGGTTGGTGATGTTATGGAATTTATCCCATTTTTTAATGGTTGATATACAATCTTCTCTCTGGGCGAGATGTAGAGATACAATATGTGGTGATTAACAATGACAAATGATAGGGAGATGGAATAAAGATGGATGTAGGGTGGTAGCTGAAGGAAGAATGATTAGATAAAGTGAAGCAATATCCTGTCACCCGGTGATGACCTCACTATATATACACCCGCTTGTTAAAGTGTTACTGAAGCCAAAACCTTTTTAATTGCTTTTGGGCAGGCTGGTGAGGGGTCACCCTGTCAGGTTCTTATTGCTGTGTGTTATATACAGAGTGCAGGGGTCAGGAGTGTGTCATGTACAGAGTGCAGGGGTCAGGAGTGTGTTATGTACAGAGTGCACAGGGTCAGAAGTGTGTTATGTACAGAATGTTGGGGTCAGGAGTATGTCATGTACAGAGTGCAGGGGTCAGTAGTGTGTTATGTACAGAGTGCAGGGGTCAGGAGTGTGTTATGGACAGAGTGCAGGGTTCAAGAGTGTGTTATGTACAGAATGTTGGGGTCAGGAGTGTGTTATTACAGAGTGCAGGGGTCAGGAGTGTGTTATGTACAGAGTGCACAGGGTCAGAAGTGTGTTATGTACAGAATGTTGGGGTCAGGAGTGTGTTAGGTACAGAGAGCAGGGTTCAGGGGTGTGTTATGTACAGAATGTTGGGGTCAGGAGTGTGTTATGTACAGAGAGCAGGGGTCAGAAGTGTGTTATGTACAGAATGTTGGGGTCAGGAGTGTGTTATTTACAGAGTGCAGGGGTCACAGAATGTTGGGGTCAGGAGTGTGTTATGTACAGAGTGGTTGGGCTCAGGAGTGTGTTATGTACAGAGTGCAGGGGTCAGGAGTGTTTTATGTACAGAGTGCAGGGGTCAGGAGTGTGTTATGTACAGAGTGCCTGATCTGTCCAATCTTAACATCTTGGGTGACATGCAGAGGGCAGGGTCATTATTTGTAATACTCAGTATGAATCTATAGATCCTTCCTGTCTTGTGTCAAGGTATCAACCCGGGGTTGAGGTAGCGGTGTTGGGAATAGTTTCCTGCCACACATTTATTCAGCTAAAAAGTGTGTGTGTGCACTTCTCTGTGGGTACAAAATGGGTTTACCCAATAAAGTGGCAGCTGGGTGTTTAAGGTTAACTCCACTTTTCCTTTTTTATAAAAAAAATTACCCAGAAGTGTGAATTAAAATAATCTAAGACCTTCCTCCAATCCAGTGACTGTCCTCTTCTGGGTTGAATGATGCTCAGCATCATCCAAACCACTTCCTATGAGCCCAAGCTATCAAGAACATGCCAGCCTGAGCTTGCAACACTTCTGGACAGCATGGTATCACCAACTACTGTCACTGGAGGAGGAAAAGAGGAAGGACTCGTGATGTCACCATACCAACCTGAAGTGTGCAGGAATAAGGATATATATAATAGTATTGTATTAAATAGAAGTAGGGGCTTTATGAAGGGGGAAGGAAGGGTGGAGGGTATCACATACTGGAGTTGGCACTGATTCATGAAACATGACATCGTATTGTCTTTGCTTTACTTCTACAATGCAGTTCAACCTCTGCACCAATTAGAAGAGGAGGTGACACACGGCATAATGGACGGATGGTACTGGGTTTTAGAGATACGGGTGATAGATCTTCAAAGGTTCCGGAAGACAGAAAGAATAGATGAAACTTAATGTGGAAGTAGAACAGAAGTCAGTTTATAGTGATGTGTGCGGCTCACGGCATTGTTGTGCTGTATTTCGACTTTCAGTTCTTCCAGCTCTTTTTTATCTTTTGACTTGGCGAGGAATCCAGCCGGTATGCTGGACACAGAAGACAACAGATGCTGCCCTGAAAGAATGTAAAGAAGGACATCAGGGGCTGAAAGACAGTCCTAGAAGATCTTTACTCTCCAGAATGTCATGGCAATACCAAGATCTGTCTTGTATCAGTTGTTCGGATAGGGAGGGGGACACTTATCAATAAACCTGCAGTCCTTGTGGCCGCAAATGTGCCGCATTCTGCGTATCTTTCCATGAAAAGGGAATTATCATAATGTCACAGTTGAGTGCAATACATGTGTCACAATCTTCAGTGTCTGACGTTTTGTCTGAATGTGCACATGAAAGCACAAGCCAGTGCAAGGAGAGACAGTCCAAATCGCTTTCATGGTTCACAATAGACATGTGCGATTCGTTTCATTCCGAATCAAAATTCGGACAAATTTTCCAGAATTCGGACATTTGGACACATCTGAATTTCTGAATCCCAATGCATCCGAATGTGTCCGAATATGAATTTCCGATAACTAAAGATCTATATAGAGGAATCAGGACCTCCTTCCTCCTGCTGGGGATCCCTCTAGTGATAACTAAAGATCTATATAGAGGAATCAGGACCTCCTTCCTCCTGCTGGGGATCCCTCTAGTGATAACTAAAGATCTATATAGAGGAATCAGGACCTCCTTCCTCCTGCTGGGGATCCCTCTAGTGATAACTAAAGATCTATATAGAGGAATCAGGACCTCCTTCCTCCTGCTGGGGATCCCTCTAGTGATAACTAAAGATCTATATAGAGGAATCAGGACCTCCTTCCTCCTGCTGGGGATCCCTCTAGTGATAACTAAAGATCTATATAGAGGAATCAGGACCTCCTTCCTCCTGCTGGGGATCCCTCTAGTGATAACTAAAGATCTATATAGAGGAATCAGGACCTCCTTCCTCCTGCTGGGGATCCCTCTAGTGATAACTAAAGATCTATATAGAGGAATCAGGACCTCCTTCCTCCTGCTGGGGATCCCTCTAGTGATAACTAAAGATCTATATAGAGGAATCAGGACCTCCTTCCTCCTGCTGGGGATCCCTCTAGTGATAACTAAAGATCTATATAGAGGAATCAGGACCTCCTTCCTCCTGCTGGGGATCCCTCTAGTGATAACTAAAGATCTATATAGAGGAATCAGGACCTCCTTCCTCCTGCTGGGGATCCCTCTAGTGATAACTAAAGATCTATATAGAGGAATCAGGACCTCCTTCCTCCTGCTGGGGATCCCTCTAGTGATAACTAAAGATCTATATAGAGGAATCAGGACCTCCTTCCTCCTGCTGGGGATCCCTCTAGTGATAACTAAAGATCTATATAGAGGAATCAGGACCTCCTTCCTCCTGCTGGGGATCCCTCTAGTGATAACTAAAGATCTATATAGAGGAATCAGGACCTCCTTCCTCCTGCTGGGGATCCCTCTAGTGATAACTAAAGATCTATATAGAGGAATCAGGACCTCCTTCCTCCTGCTGGGGATCCCTCTAGTGATAACTAAAGATCTATATAGAGGAATCAGGACCTCCTTCCTCCTGCTGGGGATCCCTCTAGTGATAACTAAAGATCTATATAGAGGAATCAGGACCTCCTTCCTCCTGCTGGGGATCCCTCTAGTGATAACTAAATATCTATATAGAGGAATCAGGAGTTCCTTCCTCATGCTGGGCATCCCTCTAGTGATAACTAAAGATATATATAGAGGAATCAGGACCTACTTCCTCCTGCTGGGGATCCCTCTAGTGACAACTAAATATCTATATAGAGGAATCAGGAGTTCCTTCCTCATGCTGGGCATCCCTCTAGTGATAACTAAAGATATATATAGAGGAATCAGGACCTACTTCCTCCTGCTGGGGATCCCTCTAGTGACAACTAAATATCTATATAGAGGAATCAGGAGTTCCTTCCTCATGCTGGGCATCCCTCTAGTGATAACTAAAGATATATATAGAGGAATCAGGACCTACTTCCTCCTGCTGGGGATCCCTCTAGTGACAACTAAATATCTATATAGAGGAATCAGGAGTTCCTTCCTCATGCTGGGCATCCCTCTAGTGATAACTAAAGATATATATAGAGGAATCAGGACCTACTTCCTCCTGCTGGGGATCCCTCTAGTGACAACTAAATATCTATATAGAGGAATCAGGAGTTCCTTCCTCATGCTGGGCATCCCTCTAGTGATAACTAAAGATATATATAGAGGAATCAGGACCTACTTCCTCCTGCTGGGGATCCCTCTAGTGACAACTAAATATCTATATAGAGGAATCAGGAGTTCCTTCCTCATGCTGGGCATCCCTCTAGTGATAACTAAAGATATATATAGAGGAATCAGGACCTACTTCCTCCTGCTGGGGATCCCTCTAGTGACAACTAAATATCTATATAGAGGAATCAGGAGTTCCTTCCTCATGCTGGGCATCCCTCTAGTGATAACTAAAGATATATATAGAGGAATCAGGACCTACTTCCTCCTGCTGGGGATCCCTCTAGTGACAACTAAATATCTATATAGAGGAATCAGGAGTTCCTTCCTCATGCTGGGCATCCCTCTAGTGATAACTAAAGATATATATAGAGGAATCAGGACCTACTTCCTCCTGCTGGGGATCCCTCTAGTGACAACTAAATATCTATATAGAGGAATCAGGAGTTCCTTCCTCATGCTGGGCATCCCTCTAGTGATAACTAAAGATATATATAGAGGAATCAGGACCTACTTCCTCCTGCTGGGGATCCCTCTAGTGACAACTAAATATCTATATAGAGGAATCAGGAGTTCCTTCCTCATGCTGGGCATCCCTCTAGTGATAACTAAAGATATATATAGAGGAATCAGGACCTACTTCCTCCTGCTGGGGATCCCTCTAGTGACAACTAAATATCTATATAGAGGAATCAGGAGTTCCTTCCTCATGCTGGGCATCCCTCTAGTGATAACTAAAGATATATATAGAGGAATCAGGACCTACTTCCTCCTGCTGGGGATCCCTCTAGTGACAACTAAATATCTATATAGAGGAATCAGGAGTTCCTTCCTCATGCTGGGCATCCCTCTAGTGATAACTAAAGATATATATAGAGGAATCAGGACCTACTTCCTCCTGCTGGGGATCCCTCTAGTGACAACTAAATATCTATATAGAGGAATCAGGAGTTCCTTCCTCATGCTGGGCATCCCTCTAGTGATAACTAAAGATATATATAGAGGAATCAGGACCTACTTCCTCCTGCTGGGGATCCCTCTAGTGACAACTAAATATCTATATAGAGGAATCAGGAGTTCCTTCCTCATGCTGGGCATCCCTCTAGTGATAACTAAAGATATATATAGAGGAATCAGGACCTACTTCCTCCTGCTGGGGATCCCTCTAGTGACAACTAAATATCTATATAGAGGAATCAGGAGTTCCTTCCTCATGCTGGGCATCCCTCTAGTGATAACTAAAGATATATATAGAGGAATCAGGACCTACTTCCTCCTGCTGGGGATCCCTCTAGTGACAACTAAATATCTATATAGAGGAATCAGGAGTTCCTTCCTCATGCTGGGCATCCCTCTAGTGATAACTAAAGATATATATAGAGGAATCAGGACCTACTTCCTCCTGCTGGGGATCCCTCTAGTGACAACTAAATATCTATATAGAGGAATCAGGAGTTCCTTCCTCATGCTGGGCATCCCTCTAGTGATAACTAAAGATATATATAGAGGAATCAGGACCTACTTCCTCCTGCTGGGGATCCCTCTAGTGACAACTAAATATCTATATAGAGGAATCAGGAGTTCCTTCCTCATGCTGGGCATCCCTCTAGTGATAACTAAAGATATATATAGAGGAATCAGGACCTACTTCCTCCTGCTGGGGATCCCTCTAGTGACAACTAAATATCTATATAGAGGAATCAGGAGTTCCTTCCTCATGCTGGGCATCCCTCTAGTGATAACTAAAGATATATATAGAGGAATCAGGACCTACTTCCTCCTGCTGGGGATCCCTCTAGTGACAACTAAATATCTATATAGAGGAATCAGGAGTTCCTTCCTCATGCTGGGCATCCCTCTAGTGATAACTAAAGATATATATAGAGGAATCAGGACCTACTTCCTCCTGCTGGGGATCCCTCTAGTGACAACTAAATATCTATATAGAGGAATCAGGAGTTCCTTCCTCATGCTGGGCATCCCTCTAGTGATAACTAAAGATATATATAGAGGAATCAGGACCTACTTCCTCCTGCTGGGGATCCCTCTAGTGACAACTAAATATCTATATAGAGGAATCAGGAGTTCCTTCCTCATGCTGGGCATCCCTCTAGTGATAACTAAAGATATATATAGAGGAATCAGGACCTACTTCCTCCTGCTGGGGATCCCTCTAGTGACAACTAAATATCTATATAGAGGAATCAGGAGTTCCTTCCTCATGCTGGGCATCCCTCTAGTGATAACTAAAGATATATATAGAGGAATCAGGACCTACTTCCTCCTGCTGGGGATCCCTCTAGTGACAACTAAATATCTATATAGAGGAATCAGGAGTTCCTTCCTCATGCTGGGCATCCCTCTAGTGATAACTAAAGATATATATAGAGGAATCAGGACCTACTTCCTCCTGCTGGGGATCCCTCTAGTGACAACTAAATATCTATATAGAGGAATCAGGAGTTCCTTCCTCATGCTGGGCATCCCTCTAGTGATAACTAAAGATATATATAGAGGAATCAGGACCTACTTCCTCCTGCTGGGGATCCCTCTAGTGACAACTAAATATCTATATAGAGGAATCAGGAGTTCCTTCCTCATGCTGGGCATCCCTCTAGTGATAACTAAAGATATATATAGAGGAATCAGGACCTACTTCCTCCTGCTGGGGATCCCTCTAGTGATAATAAAGATCTATATAGAAGAATCAGGACCTCCTTCCTCCTGCTGGAGATCCCTCTAGTGATAACTAAAGATCTATACAGAGGAATCAGGACCACCTTCCACCTGCGGGGATCCCTCTAGTGATAACTAAAGATCTATATAGAGGAATCAGGACCTCCTTCCTCCTGCTGGAGATCCCTCTAGTGATAACTAAAGATCTAGCACCAGCCCTGCACATACTGTATGTACTTCATCTGTGTATTTAGCTGGTTGCCTGGGGCTCAGATTCAAAGGAAACCGGCACAAGCATGCGGCGAGTGAGGTCAGTGTGAAGACAGAACGTCTAATCTGCATACTTTTTTTGGATCAACAATTAAACGAATGATTATGAATTGACAAATCGATTTACGGGGAGACCAGAGCTCTGGCAGCCGACAATATCGGTTCAGGTTTCCTTTAAATAGCCCCAGGCGCTCATTTGAGTGACAGACAACACAGTGCACACATTACGGTGGTCATTGCAGGTAGCGGTCTTGGGCTTTTTCATGGCGCGGTTGGCCATCTCCGTACACGGGAGGCAGATAGGCCTGAAAAAGATGAAAGTCAACTCAGAACACAGGAACAATAAAGTATGAAGTCCAGGTGACAAAAGTGACTCTCCTATTCAGGGCTGCATGTCATCGAGCTGCCCTGGGTTTCTCCTGATTATGCCCTTTTATTTAAGCCCCGCCCCCTGTGTCATGTGATTAGGGTAGTAAAAACTACCTCTCGTATGTACTCTTGGTGGAAGGATGTGGTCTGCTTTATTTGCAGAACTACTCTTCAGCAGAGATGGGTTCACGTTTCCTGAAATGCAAAGAGCCTTGTGACTGCTCTTAATCTCCTCCACTCCCACTTCCCTCTACAGCTCTCTTTCTGAATTTGAAGTCTATGTACAGCCAGAAACTTTTTTTTAGTTCTGGATAGAGTGGTAACATGTAAAAGATGAGGTTGTGTCGAGTAAATAGATACCAAACACGTCAAGCCTGAAAACTGTGTGTGTCTGTGAAACAGTGAGAAAATGGCGGTACCCAAAATTGTGTATTAGACCCCTAATGTCATCTTTGGACCACACTGAAGCTTGTGTGGTCCAGATTGTGTTTGATCAGCTTCATCCCCGGCCACATCGATCAGGAAATGACAGAACTGAACCTGGAAGTGACGAAATCTTCATAGCTTCCGGTTTCTTTGAATGGAGAGGAGATCATTGAATGTATGTTTTTGAATGGAGAGGAGATCAGCGAATGTATGTTCATTGATCTGCTTCTACTGCAGCTGTTGAGACCCGCCGTGGCTGTCCCAGGGGTTGGCGGGATGCTGAAGGGCTCCTGGAAGTGATCAGGCGCCTTCCAGGATGTATTTGGGAGTCAACTGAATGTAAGTAGGCTGACTGCTATAGCACCTTGGATTCAGTTTACAAGGGCACACTGCCATTGATATAGTAGTTATCTCCGTGGCAGCAACAAGAAATGAGGGGAGCAGTTGCCACTGGAACAGGAAGACACAGGCAGTAATAATGACCTGACAGCGCCACTTGTACCCCTAGCCCGTTTTACTGAAATAACACATTTTGTACTAGTCTGCACAAAATGTGCAGGACGGGGGCGTCCCCACAAGAGAAACGCCCATCACTTCCTGTGCTAACAGGAACGGGAAGGGAAATCTCCCCAGTGGGGACACAGACCACAAATAAAATGATATGGGTTGAATCTCTCCTCAGCCCTCTCCAAAACTTAAAATTAAATATTAGTGTGAAGTTGGGCTTCAAAGCCGGTCAGATATAAAACACACACTTTGTATTAATAATACATTAAATACAAGCAGTGTAAGTACATGAAAAAATAGGCCAAAAGAGGGACACAAAATATTAAAAATCTATCACATATTGTACATTTTGAGGCTTGGTGCTGCCTCCTCCCCCCCTACTGTCCTATAAACCCTACTGTCCTAGGTGGAAATACAGACCCCGACCTACCCTCCTACCTCCCCCCCCTCCACTGTCCTAGGTGGTAAATACAGACCCTCACCTACACCCCTCCACCCTACTGTCCTAGGGGGTAAATACAGACCCTGACCTCCACCCCTCCACCCCACTGTCCTAGGGGGTAAATACAGACCCTGACCTCCACCCCTCCACCCCACTGTCCTAGGGGGTAAATACAGACCCTGACCTCCACCCCTCCACCCCACTGTCCTAGGGGGTAAATACAGACCCTGACCTCCACCCCTCCACCCCACTGTCCTAGGGGGTAAATACAGACCCTGACCTCCACCCCTCCACCCCACTGTCCTAGGGGGTAAATACAGACCCTGACCTCCACCCCTCCACCCCACTGTCCTAGGGGGTAAATACAGACCCTGACCTCCACCCCTCCACCCCACTGTCCTAGGGGGTAAATACAGACCCTGACCTCCACCCCTCCACCCCACTGTCCTAGGGGGTAAATACAGACCCTGACCTCCACCCCTCCACCCCACTGTCCTAGGGGGTAAATACAGACCCTGACCTCCACCCCTCCACCCCACTGTCCTAGGGGGTAAATACAGACCCTGACCTCCACCCCTCCACCCCACTGTCCTAGGGGGTAAATACAGACCCTGACCTCCACCCCTCCACCCCACTGTCCTAGGGGGTAAATACAGACCCTGACCTCCACCCCTCCACCCCACTGTCCTAGGGGGTAAATACAGACCCTGACCTCCACCCCTCCACCCCACTGTCCTAGGGGGTAAATACAGACCCTGACCTCCACCCCTCCACCCCACTGTCCTAGGGGGTAAATACAGACCCTGACCTCCACCCCTCCACCCCACTGTCCTAGGGGGTAAATACAGACCCTGACCTCCACCCCTCCACCCCACTGTCCTAGGGGGTAAATACAGACCCTGACCTCCACCCCTCCACCCCACTGTCCTAGGGGGTAAATACAGACCCTGACCTCCACCCCTCCACCCCACTGTCCTAGGGGGTAAATACAGACCCTGACCTCCACCCCTCCACCCCACTGTCCTAGGGGGTAAATACAGACCCTGACCTCCACCCCTCCACCCCACTGTCCTAGGGGGTAAATACAGACCCTGACCTCCACCCCTCCACCCCACTGTCCTAGGGGGTAAATACAGACCCTGACCTCCACCCCTCCACCCCACTGTCCTAGGGGGTAAATACAGACCCTGACCTCCACCCCTCCACCCCACTGTCCTAGGGGGTAAATACAGACCCTGACCTCCACCCCTCCACCCCACTGTCCTAGGGGGTAAATACAGACCCTGACCTCCACCCCTCCACCCCACTGTCCTAGGGGGTAAATACAGACCCTGACCTCCACCCCTCCACCCCACTGTCCTAGGGGGTAAATACAGACCCTGACCTCCACCCCTCCACCCCACTGTCCTAGGGGGTAAATACAGACCCTGACCTCCACCCCTCCACCCCACTGTCCTAGGGGGTAAATACAGACCCTGACCTCCACCCCTCCACCCCACTGTCCTAGGGGGTAAATACAGACCCTGACCTCCACCCCTCCACCCCACTGTCCTAGGGGGTAAATACAGACCCTGACCTCCACCCCTCCACCCCACTGTCCTAGGGGGTAAATACAGACCCTGACCTCCACCCCTCCACCCCACTGTCCTAGGGGGTAAATACAGACCCTGACCTCCACCCCTCCACCCCACTGTCCTAGGGGGTAAATACAGACCCTGACCTCCACCCCTCCACCCCACTGTCCTAGGGGGTAAATACAGACCCTGACCTCCACCCCTCCACCCCACTGTCCTAGGGGGTAAATACAGACCCTGACCTCCACCCCTCCACCCCACTGTCCTAGGGGGTAAATACAGACCCTGACCTCCACCCCTCCACCCCACTGTCCTAGGGGGTAAATACAGACCCTGACCTCCACCCCTCCACCCCACTGTCCTAGGGGGTAAATACAGACCCTGACCTCCACCCCTCCACCCCACTGTCCTAGGGGGTAAATACAGACCCTGACCTCCACCCCTCCACCCCACTGTCCTAGGGGGTAAATACAGACCCTGACCTCCACCCCTCCACCCCACTGTCCTAGGGGGTAAATACAGACCCTGACCTCCACCCCTCCACCCCACTGTCCTAGGGGGTAAATACAGACCCTGACCTCCACCCCTCCACCCCACTGTCCTAGGGGGTAAATACAGACCCTGACCTCCACCCCTCCACCCCACTGTCCTAGGGGGTAAATACAGACCCTGACCTCCACCCCTCCACCCCACTGTCCTAGGGGGTAAATACAGACCCTGACCTCCACCCCTCCACCCCACTGTCCTAGGGGGTAAATACAGACCCTGACCTCCACCCCTCCACCCCACTGTCCTAGGGGGTAAATACAGACCCTGACCTCCACCCCTCCACCCCACTGTCCTAGGGGGTAAATACAGACCCTGACCTCCACCCCTCCACCCCACTGTCCTAGGGGGTAAATACAGACCCTGACCTCCACCCCTCCACCCCACTGTCCTAGGGGGTAAATACAGACCCTGACCTCCACCCCTCCACCCCACTGTCCTAGGGGGTAAATACAGACCCTGACCTCCACCCCTCCACCCCACTGTCCTAGGGGGTAAATACAGACCCTGACCTCCACCCCTCCACCCCACTGTCCTAGGGGGTAAATACAGACCCTGACCTCCACCCCTCCACCCCACTGTCCTAGGGGGTAAATACAGACCCTGACCTCCACCCCTCCACCCCACTGTCCTAGGGGGTAAATACAGACCCTGACCTCCACCCCTCCACCCCACTGTCCTAGGGGGTAAATACAGACCCTGACCTACCCCCCTCCACCCTACTGTCCTAGGTGGTAAATACAGACCCTGACCTCCACCCCTCCACCCCACTGTCCTAGGTGGTAAATACTGACCCTGACCTACACCCCTCCACCCCACTGTCCTAGGTGGTAAATACAGACCCTGACCTACACCCCTCCACCCCACTGTCCTAGGTGGTAAATACAGACCCTGACCTACACCCCTCCACCCTACTGTCCTAGGTGGTAAATACAGACCCTGACCTACACCCCTCCACCCTGCTGTCCTAGGTGGTAAATACAGACCCTGACCTACACCCCTCCACCCCACTGTCCTAGGTGGTAAATACAGACCCTGACCTACACCCCTCCACCCTACTGTCCTAGGTGGTAAATACAGACCCTGACCTACACCCCTCCACCCTACTGTCCTAGGTGGTAAATACAGACCCTGACCTACACCCCTCCACCCTTCTGTCCTAGGTGGTAAATACTGACCCCCGAGGACCTACCTGGCACTGCTGCTGAATTCCACTTTCTCAGTCAGTTTTACAAGGGCCACATCGTAGTCATAATCCTCCTTTATCCCTCTGTTCGCCTTCCGGATTATATTATAACATTTGTGGATTATTCTTAGTTCCGCTTTATATGTTGCCGATCCTAAGAATATATGAAGAAGAGCTTGTGACTGAGTAATAGAGCAATGGAAGAATGAAGAGCAATGGAAGAATGGGGAGCAATGGAAGAATGGAGAGCAATGGAAGAATGGAGAGCAGTGGAAGAATGGAGAGCAATGGGAGAATAAAGAGCAATGGGAGAATAAAGAGCAATGGAAGAATAAAGAGCAATGGAAGACTAAAGAGCAATGGAAAAATAAAGAGCAGAGGGAGAATGAAGAGCAGTGGAAGAATGAAGAGCAATGGAAGAATGAAGAGCAATGGAAGAATGAAGAGCAATAGAAGAATGAAGAGCAGTGGGAGAATGAAGAGCAGTGGGAGAATGAAGAACAGTGGAAGACTGAAAAGCAGTGGAAGACTGAAGAGCAATGGAAGAATAAAGAGCAGTGGAAGAATGAAGAGCAGCAGAAGAATGAAGAGCAGCAGAAGAATGAAGAGCAGCAGAAGAATGAAGGGGAGTGGGAGAATGAAGAGCAGCAGAAGAATGAAGGGGATTGGGAGAATGAAGAGCAGCAGAAGAATGAAGGGGAGTGGGAGAATGAAGAGCAGTAGAAGAATGAAGGGGATTGGGAGAATGAAGAGCAGTAGAAGAATGAAGGGGATTGGGAGAATGAAGAGCAGCAGAAGAATGAAGGGGATTGGGAGAATGAAGGGCATTTATGGCTGATGCCTCCATTACTCAGATATGTAAAATGAATACATTTCATTCATCGTGCTCCATGTGATTACCAATCTCAAATGTGTATTGATCCATTGTGTGGCCCTTGAAACAGTGAGCAGCGGTGAGGATCCACTGGCTGGAGATGAGAGATCCGAAGCAAGGGCTTGTACCTCCAGCCTGGGAAACAAGAATACGCATATCACAAATTCTACAAAACTCCAATCATATATGAAAGAAACATACAGAAAATTCTAACTCTTAGAACTCCGTCCTTCCCTTCAGTCTTCTATCTGACCTCCGTCCTTCCCTTCAGTCTTCTATCTGACCTCCGTCCTTCCCTTCAGTCTTCTATCTGACCTCCGTCCTTCCCTTCAGTCTTCTATCTGACCTCCGTCCTCCACTCCAGTCTTCTATCTGACCTCCGTCCTTCCCTTCAGTCTTCTTTCAGTCTTCTATCTGACCTCCGTCCCTCCCTTCAGTCTTCTATCTGACCTCCGGCCTTCCCTTCAGTCTTCTATCTGACCTCCGGCCTTCCCTTCAGTCTTCTATCTATCTTGCACAGTTGTACCGGCTCCTCTCCTGGACTGAGATTTCTGATGTCACTGCACACTGGGAGCTTCTCACACTGTGCATTAGAAGCTGCAGCAAGTCAGATAGAGCCCAGCATCATCTAGCTCTTTCCTCCCCAGGCCCTCCCCTTTCATTCATTGGGTTTCTGCTCTTTCAGTCATGGAGACCTCTTAAGGCTAGGTTCACTGAGGAGGAAAAGAGGCTGTAATAACAGGCAGCTAGCTGAACTTCGTTTTTACCACCCCCACCTCTATACCCAGCCCCGTCCTGACCCACATATACAATAACATGGCGGCCACACAGAACCGCCCACACTGCAGCAGCCACAAAGCTTTGCAGCGCAGACAATTGTAACTTGCCACATCATGTTCGGGAGCCGCCACCACCCGCCAAACGTGCCCAATGAAGTCAATGGGACTGCGTGGCGCGGTAAAACAATGTTCAACCTCCCTTGGGATGAAAAAACAAACACGTGCACTCGGGAGGCGCCAGTCTTGTCTCCTTCATGCCGGCAAACCATTGCTCAACCACTCCCTGAAGAGCGATCACTGCCAAGTGCTTTTCAGTGGGCGAACTATGGGGTCAGTGCTTTTCCCCATAGTTCTCCTAAGGGTAACGGGAGGACACAAACTAGCGCCCTCCCGTCACCCAAAGCTCAGTTTCCCGCGAGCTACAGCTCGCGGTAATACTGAGACGCCGCAGCCGGGACAGATCCCGACTTTACTGTCGAGATCCGCCCAGCTGCGTGATTGACAGCTGGCTCTGCCTCTCTAGAGGCAGCTGTACCCGCCCCCTCCCCCGTCCGTTCCGCCAGTCAGCGCTGGAGGATCGGAGAGGGGAGAATCCCTGCAGGGAGCCGTGAGTGACAGTCACGTCTGTCTGCAGGGATAGATCGAGAAGTGAGCGAGAGACGGTATGTGTTCGCTCACATCCCTGTCTATTGAGCCGACCTGTGACAGTTTCATTGTCACAGGTCGGCTAGAACTATGAGGCTGAGTGATTTTCACTCGCCTCATAGTTCTCCTTTAACTCCTGAGTTTAGTGTCAGTTTAACGTCTGAACAATGCATGATGGGATGTGTAGTCTTGAGAAATGGAGACAGTATCACCTCAAGCAGCAGGGAAAGAGACACAAAGCACACTGGGAATCCAGGAGGTTGCTGGAAGTGATGGGCAGATGGAAGGCGTCACTCACTACATAAAAGGGATTTTTTCAAGTAAGCTTTGATTGCATCATCAGAGACAACACATCTATGTATTCCTGTTACAATGCTGATGTTATAACAGGAGAGGATGCACTGGGACTTTACAACTCCTTTAGTATACTTTTAGGATGCACCGATACCAATACTAGTATCGGTATTGGTGCTGATACCCAGGGCCGTCTTTAAGTCTTATCTGTGAAGAGATAAGGGAAACCAGGAGGGTGAGGGGGGAGAAGGGACGGGACACTGACATCCCGCATCTCCAGGTAGGGAGCGAGCAGTGCAGGCTCAAAGGGGGGCTGCTTTGGGCCCCACAACAATAACTGGGCCCAGAGCAACTGACCCTTTTGCCGTGTGTTAAAGACGGGCCTGCTGATACCGAGTATTTGGGAGAGTACTCATACTCGTCCAAATGCACCGATGCCTAGCCCGATACCTGAGCTTCCGGTACCAGGAAGCTGGGCAGTGAGTCATTACGGCTGCCCGGCTTCCTGATTGGCCATCACTTTTGACGAGGGAGCATGAAGCCAGCTTCCTGGCCAATCAGGAAGCCGGGCGCCGCATCATTACCCGGCGCCCGGCTTCCTGATAGGCCAGAAAGCCGGCTCCATGCTTTCTCGTCACCTGGTGACAAGGAAGCATGGGGACGGCTTCCCTGCTAATCAGGAAGCCAGGTGGCGAGTCATTACACGCCGCTTGGCTTCCTTAATGGGACTTCTGGTATCGGTATTCGGTATCGGCAAGTACCGAGAAAAAATATTGGTACTCGTACTCAATACCGAAAAACCGGTATCAGTGCATCCCTAGTATATTTTCTTGATACCGAAGGGCAGCCAGCAAGTAAAAGCAAAGTTAAAGTGGAAATTTAACAAAATGAACCCTTGCAGTGGGGCTACTCCCGTACTGCAAGGGTTAAGTGCTCGTTTTGGTCTAGGGTCCAAAATAAAGATAACCCCACCTGATCCCCAGTCCCACCTAGCAGTTAGAAGGGTCCCTGCAGCCTCTGGCGGTCTAATGACTATTGACGTCATCACATCCATTGACTTGCATTGGTCGTGAGCATGCTGAAGGACATTCCACAGCTGGAGTGGAGGGTGAGAGAGGTGAGAAGTCCCCTCCACGGGACGGAGGATCAGGTGAGTATATTTTTTTTAATTTCAGACCCTAGACCAAAATGAGCACTTAAACCTTGCAGTGCGGGGTATTTAATTTTTAATATACCCGGAGTTCTTCTTTCAAAAAGAAGCGGAGCAGCAGCTGTCCCTCTGCTCGTTCAGCCCCGGGATGGATTGCATCTCGAACGTTTGTTTCAGTCATTTATAATGAACATTTTCTTTACTCACGTTAATTAACACGTTCCACGGGTGGTGAAGTTTTCTATCTGATGAGCTCTCATCGTTCAGGCCGCACATTTCCCCGTAATTTTCAATTTCTGTTATAAAATGTACAAATATGATTAGTCTGTTTTAAATGAAATCAGTAGAATGTCTGCCCCTCATCTGCCCATACACCCCACCCCCCTGTCCCGTCCCCCCCATCTTCCCCTCTCCACCTATCTCTCCTTGTCATAAATATACTATATACACTACTATATACTACAACAACTGCAGGGAAGCAGGGCCATGGAAGGTCAGGTGGACAGGTTGGAAGGCAGAGGGAATGGAGGTCGGTCAGGACAAGTATAGGTGATGCAGATCAGGCAGGTTCAGGATTCAATGGGAATGTGTGCTGGGTGAATCCTGGGGGCGGGGCTAAATAGCCTTCCAGCAGCCAGCACCAGGGGGTGACTAAAGTGCCCCTTAAAGGATTAAAAATTAACCCTTGCAGTGGGGCTACCTCATTTTGGTCTAGGGTCCAAAACAAAAAAAAGATACTCACCCGAACCTTCGTCCCGCCCGGCTCTGCTAGACCGGTCCCTAAAGACTCTTCTCCCCCAGACTCCGGCAGTCTAAGTACCGCTGACGTCCTCATGTACAATACAGACCATTGCTTTGCATTGGACGTGAGGACACCAAGGGACAATCCATGGCCAGAGCGGGG